AAAACAAGTAAAGTGTTGTGGGGGGGGGTGGAAAGACAAGATGTTTTTCAGGGACAGAGGCTTAAATAAAAAAAAAATTGAAAAGCATTTATCAATATGGAGCACTTTGGTGGTTAATTCTCTGAATGATTTCTTTTTGTTTTTACATGGGACAATGCACATTAATCGTCACTGACATTAACATCAGTGTAAATGTGCCAGCGTTAGCTTAACAGCTAACACCACTCTATCACAGGGCAGTTTGCTTTAATTTAAACAATTTTTTTAAGTTCCTGGATACAGCTGTATCATAAGGACAATTTAGAGAAGTACTGCGCAAAAAACATGGAGCTTTTGATTTTTGAGTTTCCTATACCAGAGCTGTGATTAGTTCTCCTAGTTTGACGAGCTATACTCAACCTTCCACCACTGGAAAATGTTCAAATAAATCCCTAAATTCATTTGGTCTAGAGGTGAGTTTGTGTATGTATGATAAGGGCCTTCTTCATTTTTGATTTTTCATATTGTCTGTTAAAGAAGGACAGGAGTCATCGATTTGCTTCTGAACAGATTTTAAAGGTGCGTTCCATACAGTGTTCATCCAGAGTCCTACATGTGAAGGCTCAAGCATATTTACAGAACTTAGATAAATCTATATATACACACAATCTTTATATAGAAAACAAACTTACTAACAAAAATAATCTTGTTTTTATAGCAGCCAAAAAGAAAAAACTAAGAAGTATGTATATTTACACCTTTTTCAAATAACAAGGCATACAGTACACTGCGCATACTTGCTTTCCCAGTCTTTAGGTATTCTTCTTGATTTAATCTCAGTGAAGACCTAAGCATATAGGCATCTTTCTCCTCTGTCATTTATACACACTGTACTAGAGGCAGAGTCACAGACACACACGAGTTAGGCCAGGTTGGATCACTTGCGTGGCCATCACGCTGCTTCCACTGACAACTGCTGACTTACCACATTCATTCCATGACCAAAACTGTAGAGTCAACATGGCTGCCACTGAAAAGTAACAAGGCCAAATTGCTGTGTGTGACTCTGCCTACAATTCAAATAACAGAAACAAACCAAAAAATAAAAGCCATATTCTACTTGAGTTAAAACACAAGAAAAGAAACTAAAAGGCTTGTAAATAACCTCTGGTACTGCAGCCACTGATTCCAGAGTTAAGTGTAAAACAGGTGACTACAAGGAACAGAGGAAAGAAACACTGAGATGACATTTTGAACACACTCTTGCCTTTATATGTGAGCAGCTACAAGACAACTCACACAGACATACTCACAATCCAGTCTGCAACAGCAAATAGAATAGATTTAATTTGCTCTTTTGGAAATTCAGTGAAAAGGTGTCTTTTATAAATGATAAAGAAAAAAAAGTTGGGTTTTTTTTGCAACATAGTTCAACTGTTTATTTTAACTTATGTGCAAGTTCTGTGCAATGTCAGACCTCTCCCAGCTTGTCAAGCATCAACACAAAATGATTTCAGCTGAAATCGACTCACATTTGTTATCAAACACTCAAGTCACCAGATGGAATCAAAAGGTAAGAACTCCATCTCCCAGCAGGCCGAACAAGTTGCCATGCTGTATGAACATTCACTCTATGGTAAAAGACTTGGAACATTAAGAACAAAAGCAAAAACAAAAATCATAAAAGACTTGGAACATTAAGAACAAAAACAAAAACAAAAACAAATCTAACTTTCCACTGCCTTGGAACAGAAACACTCAAGTCGCACTTCAAGTATTCATGGCTTGGAGTTTTTCGCCTACACTTTTAACAAGGAGTGTCGCTCGGGACGACACGTGTCTCACATTTTAACACATTTCAACACCATCCACATGTATGTTGTGTTGAACACGTGTGACAAGATGAGCATGGTCTAAATCTTTACACACAAGTGTGCAAAAATGTAAAAAGTCACATTTGTTAAGAGTGTACTGACGCAGAATGAGCACAGCACTTCGGCTTCAAGAAAGAGTACGTTGGGTATTTTCGTTCTTTCATTTTAAAACACATCTAAGTGCAAACAAAAAGACACAAACATCCATCCATGCGTGAGAAAATACATCCCTAACCAGTTAGGACAGTAAAGAAAAAAGCTTGAGTGATTTGTACAGAATCATACTTTGGTGTTCCACACATGCATATTGTTGTTACTGTTGCATGCAAACCTCCAAAACCCAGTTGTTTTTTTTGTTGTTGTTTTTTTTTTTTTCAAAATTTTCCTTAAACTGTCTTTGTTTTTATTGCACTAGTGGTTACAGAAGCCATGCGAATCACTGGCACCATGTCTTTTGTTATTGTCCCAGCACCACAGTTAGAGGGTCAACCCAGGAAGCAAATGTACCTGAAATTATGTGAGGAACTGCACACGTAATAACAGGGTGAACCTCTGCACTAACATCTACCAAAGTGAAAAAACAACCACATCATCAGTGAAAGAATGCTCTTCAAAAACCAAAATACTTAAAATAAACGTCTGCACTAACAGCTTCAATACACACTCCAATAAAATATTCTTTCTTTAGTAAATGACTGAAATTTTCAGTTTGCAAGTTTCAGCTCAGATACAGACCCAGACAGATGCAGGAAAAACCCCTGGTGCAACAACCTCACACAGTCCTCTCCCCCATTGAAAAAGAGAGGCCATCACTGCAACAAAAGATCTGATTTGTCAGAAAACAAACGACATAATAAACACTAAGTTCAATTTTGTAAATTTCTAACATGTTTTTTGTTTTGTTTTATTATTTGATAGTTTCTTAAAAGTACATCCAGCATCATCAGCTAAGGAAATATTGATTATTTAATCTTATCAGTCTAAACTCAATATCAATAAGCACTATTAAGAAATCTGTTTTATACAACTTGCATGCATCTCCTCTGTGCTTAATCAAATATTTTTGTGATTTGCCTACTAGTCTTGTTATTGTGTATGGGTGTTACCAGGGTCGAAGTAAACAAGAGTTTTACTTCTTCACCCAGCATCACGTTACTGCTGCTGCTATTGCCACAGCTGCTGTTGCTTGCCCTCCTGAACCAGCAAATACAGAAGAAGTCATTTTTGTTAAACTGGAAGTATAGGGATTCAAACTGAGTATCAAAAACAAATATTACAACATTTTACTTTATTTTATCTCACAATGGGGGCCACCTAATTGGAGTCAAATTGTGGTTTAACATATCTGGGCAATAAAGATTCTGATTTCACCAAAACTCACAGATTAAGGCTTTTTGTGGGATATCTGATAAATTATTTTTGGTGTTCATTTAGCAATTTAAAGCAATAGTTCAACATTTTCAGAAATAAGCTTATTGTTATTGTGACCAGACATATCTGCATAAAAAACATGCAGCATAAAACCAGCAGCCTGCTAGTTTTGCTTAGCATATAGAGCTAGAATAGGGCAAACAGCCAGCCTGGCTCTGACTAAAGGTAGAAAAATCCACCTAGCAGCAGCAGCTCTAATTGGGACAGTCAGCCATCATGCCACATCCAGAAATAATTAGCATCTAAAATGCTCTTTTCTAAATCTCTAAACTGGACCATAATCTAGCAACAGGCTCCAGCAACATGCCTAAATCACTACATTGATCTATTTAGTCTCTTGTTCATTACAAAGGCCCCAGAAGGTTTCCTACATTGTATTTTTCAAAATATCCAGGATCCTCTGTAACATTTAGTGGATCCACTAGAAGAGAAAGCATGGTCCTGCTGGTGTCCTAAGACGAACAAATGCAACGCCTTAAAAGCAACATTTTTCTAACTCAACGCTATAATACTTTTTTCAACAATGGCTCAGCTAATGTAAAGTTAGTGACAAACTTTGTGTTAACAGCATTTAAAAGAAAACTAATTACTAAAAATGCAAAAAAAAAAAAAAAATAGAGAGGAAGAGAACAATGATGTCTCCCTTCTCTTCTCCTTTGCTGTTTGGTTAGTCTCTGCTCCTCTAACACGCAGCATGTAGGTTAGTCTGGTTATTCCAAACAAACACAGCCATTGTAATCATTCTTTTTATACAATTTCTCTGGGTCTTAAAAAAATCATGAAAATAATCATTTGAGATTGCAATGCCCTGTGTGCTGCACATATTGCATCTTGCTCTTTTCCTTCCTGGAATTTTACTTAATATACATGTGTATTATCTTACTGTATTGTTAACTAAATATACAAGCAACTTCATGCTCATACGCTAGACCCTCTTAAATACTGTCATCTTTGCTCTGAGTGAAAGCTAAATTAAGAATTTTACAACTTTCATGTAAAACTACAAAACCCTTACAATTACAATCAGTGTGAAGACTCAAGATTGAACCAGGCTTCAAGCTCTGAATTTCAGAGATGCCACTTTCAAAGGTCTCTAGAGTCTTAAAGCTACTGTCTCAGAATGCTGTAAAAGTCCCACAAAGCCCAGCGTGTTGTTGGGTTTATTTTGGTGATTGCTGTGCCTCCGCTGGAGACGCCAAGTCAACAGACACACACACAGCACGCACACTCTCGTCAATCAGCTTCCACATCACGGAGCAAAAATTGGATCAAGCAGATACTGTAGTGAGGAAGAACAAGTTTCAGCATTTTCTAATGATTGCTCATTATTCAGGCTTGATTCAGTTGAACAGGTGTGTGTGTGTGTGTGTGTATATATATATATATATGTGAGTGGGTTTCTGTGTATATATGCATGTGTCCCCTGAAGTTTTCTATCCAAGCAACTGCTCAGTAGCACCTCCTAGAGGCCCTGAGAGACAGAGACAACCATGAATTACTCGCTTCTGGACGACCATGACGGATCAGTCAAATGTCCGTGAGGGTCAAGTGGAAGGAAGTTCGGTGACAGCTGAAAACAGCATTGGAACCAGAATTCTTTTTGTAAGGTAAGTTGGCCTGGTGTGACGCTGGTCCCACATCAGATTTAGTTGTTTTCTGCAGCAAACTGAGATACATTGAATCAGAAAAGGCCTGTCAAAACGAGAACAGACACCAAGCTTGGACCAAGAGGGCACCATGCACCCTCCGCTCTTTGTGTCAATAAACTCCAGTATGATGAGGACGGTGAGTATCCTTAAGTATTTTCCAACAGCATTGATGATAAAAGTGAATTTAGGCAGGTGTACAGCAACGTGCCTGTTGACTCTGCCCATCCAATCACAGAGCAGACTCCTTCTCCATGTGACAGGAAGTGGTGGTGGAGGTGGCCTTGCCCTCCTTGTTGAGTTTCAGGAAGCTGGGTTTCTCTATCACCACAGTAACAGCCACCTCATTGCTGGTGGGATTTTCCAGCGTTGTCAAGGTCTGTTTCTCTGAAGTTTTGGTTGACTCTCCCTCCCTGTCAATCACAATTAAAATCACAGCTGTAAGGAATCTATTTGTGGCCTAACAAAGTAGCTTGACATTTTGGGAAATTCTCACCAGGAGCCAGCAGCATAAACACTAGAATTAATTACCATAACAATTAAGCTTTAGCAGTGCTGGTAGGCAGTTTCTGTACCCTTTACCAGTCTTTATGCTAAGCTAAGCTAGCTGGCTGCTATTTGTGGTTCATTTTTACAATACAGAGATGAGAGTGGTTCTGAGTGTGTTATCAACCTTGTCCTCTAACTCTCAACAAGAAACAGGCAAATAAGCAACTTTCTGTAACAGCAAATGACTAAAACCTGTTTTTTTTTTGTTTTTTTTACCCATTGTTTGTAGCCGGGTAAATGACCAGGAAGCAGGCGGTGAAGAATCCAAGGAGTGAGCCTCCAGAGGCCACTATAGGAATGACACGGACGCTGCCGACAGCTTCCACCACTGCACCCAGAGCTGAGGCCACCAAGATCTGACTGATGTACACCTGCAAAATTACATAAGGATTATATAACAACTTTTCAGTGTCTTATAGCATATAAAACTTTTTTATTTATATTTTTTAAATTATTTATATATAAATAAAGTGTCCCTGGTAGGCTAGTGGTTAAGGCTCAGTGCTCTTGCCGCTGCAGCCCGGGTTTGAATCAGGGTTGCGTCAGTAAGGGCATCCGGCATAAAACATGTGCCAAATGTCAACATGCGAGTCGTCAGTGTGACGATTCGCTGTGGTGACCCCTAAACGGGAAAAGCTGAAAGTGACTTTCATTTATATATAAATAAAGTGCAAAACCCACCTGACAGGACAAGATAGCACAATCGACGCCAAAGCCTCTCCGGGAGCTACCAGGGCTGTGGTGGATGTACTGCAGGAGACAGAGCAGGTTACTAAATAAAACAATCTATGCACTCTACCAGGTAATTCATTAGGAAGCAACATACAATATTTTAAAAAATGTTAAACGCTGAATTTTTTTGTACCTTTTTCATTTCGTGATACTGTCCAAGCAGAGCATAAGGGCAGTAGGAGATGCTCATAGATATGATGCCCATGCTACTGATCATCACCATGGCAACATACACATTAGGGAAGATGGCCATGACAGCAGTTCCTTAGGAGGGAAAACCAGATTGATTCCAGAGTTACTGACAAGCTGCTCACATTAATTTTGTTCTGCTCTATTACTGTACTGTGGCTCATACCTATGGAGAATCCAAGCGTCCCCAGGATGTAGATGACCTTGATACTCAGGTCAAAGTTGTCAAGGTACTTCTGAAGAACAGCTGGAAAAGGAAGATTGTTCATTCATTGTTCATTGTTTAGTCCAGAGATTAGTGGTGGCGTGTTATTCCTCCAAAAAGTACACCTTACAGCTTTAAACTAGACAGAAAAGATGCTGTCTACATGATGTGAGAAGTGTATTGTTACCTGAGCATGTCGCAGCAGTCATGGCATATATAACCAGTCCCCAGCATCCCATCTGTACTCCTCTGTGATAATTAGCCAACGATGTCGAGTTAGCAGAGGCCTGAGAAAGCGACAAACAGGAAAGCTGTTGTCTGCAGTATATGGGACAGCCAAAACAAGACAACGTCTCCTGTATAGAACATCTTTTTCACAAGAACAAATGTTTTTTTTGTTTGTTTTTTTTTTTTTTACAAATGGCTATTGGATATTAAAATGTCTAATATGACGACATGATAAGAACTTGTGAAGTTCATGTTCTCAATTTTTTGAACCATTTTCCATTCATTTAAATGTTAAAGACTATGTAACACTACTTTTATCCTGCCAGGTCTTGACAAGCAGCAAGGAAAAAAAGCTAAAGAGAAAGTTTGTGTGTGTGTACAGCTGCTGATGTTCGTACTGTAGGATCTCCATTGTAGATGACTTGTCCCATAAAGTCAGTGAAGAACACAGCCTCAGCAATAATGGAGAACCAGGTGAACAGGTGACAGGCGCACAGCCGCAGCAACTCTGGAGGCATCTTCAGCATGGAGAGCCAAAGCAGCCGCACGGTGGTCTCAACCTGCAGAAAGGAGGAGAAGAGAATTAGTAAAACAGCCTGAACTATATTACTGAAAAGAGACACAAATGTCATCTTGTTGCCATGGTTATTCTTACTGGCAAATAAAAGCCTTGAAATGTACTACATAGCTGTACTGTTTGGATTTCTAACACTATCCCATTTGTTTGTCCACTGTCCTTCATGATCTGTGCTGTGTGTTTGCCACTACTCCAGTAGCAGAAGTCGTATTGATATCACCTAGTATTTTCCTCCTTCCACTCCTCACCTCGCCCTCTTCGCTCTCCGTGTCACCGCTGGAAGAGGTGGTGTTCCCACTGCGGTGTCTGGTGCGCTGCTTTCTTTTCCTCCTGTGTCTGACCTCCACTTCGTACAGATCATTCATACTGCGCGAAGGCTTGATGAGAAAAGCGGCATTGGCCCGGCGATAGCGGTAACGATGGCTCCCCACTCGGCCATAGTAAGAGAAGGTGCAGGACGGCTGGCGGTAGAAGGTGTGATGGTGATGTGACTGTCGCGTTGGAGCTCCAGTACTGGAAGCTGGAATAAGAGACAGTTTAACTGCTGTAAAAGACCACTTATTTAAAAAATGAACATTTTTCTTTTTAGTTACTCTTTTCATTCATCACTGTCAATGACAAAAGTTTTAAGTGTCATTCTTAAATAAAATAAGCAAACAAGACATACAGTAATGTAATAATAAGTGAGCCCTTCGATGGATATTGTTAGGTTTGGACAGAACAAACAAGCTAGAAGTTCCCAAAATGTGGAACTATTCCTTTAAATATTACAAATCAGTAGGATTCAGTATGGTTCAATACAAAATCACAAAAGGAAAAGTATTTAATAGATAAAAAGAAGATACGTTAACAATTACACTTTCTTGATTTTATTTGAATTAATTTGGGGTTGCACAGAGTATAATACATTGTAATATGTAAATACTGACCTTTGACCATTCCAGAATGATGGGTCTGTCCTTGAGAGCTTAGTCTGTTAGTGCTAGCTCTATCAGCACTAGTTAACATGGCGAACAGCCGCTCATTCAGTGTCTGTTGCTCGTTCAGCTGGTTGTTCAGCAGCACTTTCTGTCCATCGTCATTTTCCATTTCTTGTAAGCAAGCAGAGAGGTGGGAAATCTTGTGGGTGGGAGCGTGCTTTTGGTGGTGGAGCAGATCCTGACTTGCAGCATTATTGCTGTGTCTGAGGTTGGTGAGCTGGGAATGGGAGGCATTGTGACTGGGGTTAAAGAAGGAGGAAGTGGTAGGGGGCGAGCCATGATAGGGCGAGAGGCGGTCAGTGAAGATGGACGGCTCTATGTGGCATAAGAATAATGCATCATGGTCCAGGTGGTCAAGGGTGGCATCTGCCATGGCGAGAACACTGTCACTTTTACCTGCAGACAGACAAGGAGAGGAAATGATAAACAAGCACCTGGGAACAAAATGAGAATAAGGAGAACAAATGACATCAGGTCACATCATGCTTGAGAACAACCGATCTAGACCATCTATAATGTCAGTAATATTGTCTGTCTTTCCAGAAGGGAAACAGGCAGAAGACAAAACAGTTTTTTGGTGATTAGGAAATTAATTGATCAAAATGGCTTCAGAATTCAGGTTTGAAGGAAGAAACGGAGAAGAATCTGTGAACTTACTTCTCACAAGCTCCGCATCTAGGAAGTCCATGTCCATATCTCCATGCTCTGACTGGTCATCTCCATAGGGGTCATAGAGGTCGTAGCTGTCCATCGTTTCATCTTTTCCGATCATCTCCAGCTTTGGGGCAAAAAGTCCAGTCCTGCCATTGGCTGTTGGTTGTGGGTTGCTGGGATCTGGATCCTGGTGAGACAACACAGAGCGTTTTGTGACATAATAGAAAACCAAGGTTTTTTTTTTTATTTTTTTTTTTTATTAAAACTGAATTTTAGAGCACACACACACTGTACCTGGTACAGCCTGTCATGTTGGGGTGAATACTGCTGCTCCTCAATGCTGAAGAGATGCAACACCACAGAGGAAGAGAAGAGGACTGCAGCAAAGAAGAACAGGATCTGCTCCTGAGACTGGAACACTGCTCCAAGGAAGGTGTGTGTCCAGTCTAAACCTCCGAGAGCGTAGCCGACCGCGCCGCCAAGACCTGTGAACAGGAACACAGTTAGACTTAAGAAGGAGAAGACTCAAGAGGCATGAGCAGCATTGTCTCTTGTAGTGTGTGTTTGTCCTGTTCAGTGAGCTATTCTTTTTCACATTTTGTTTTTATTACTGACATGCAGTGGTGGAAGAAGTACTCAAAGAAGTACTCCTGAAGTAAATGTAGCTATACCACAGTGTAAGAATAAAAGTTCTGCATTCAAAATGTTAAGTACAAAAGTATTAGTACCAAAATATACCACAAGTAAAAGTACTCAGAACAACACATTTTCACATTAATGTATATATTATTGGATCATAATTATTTATGTATCGTTGTGTACATCACATATAATGCAGCTGGTAAAGAGGGAAGTAATGTTAACTACCTTATATACTTATAACGGAGTATTTGACATTTTGCTGGGTAGCTTGTGAATTACCCACCAAGAATCAATAAAGTCTTATGATTATACTGTATTTTGCTGTATTAATTTGATTCTGAAAAGTAACTAATAGCTAAAGTTAGCAAACAAATGAAGTGGAGTAAAAGGTATAATATTTGCATCTAAAATGTAGTGAAGTCAAAGTATGAAGTAGGAGAAAATACTCAAGTACAAATATGTCGAAATTGCATTAAAATACACCACTTGAGTAAATGTACTTATTTAACACCACTGCTGACATGGCCATGAGCTGTTTTTACAGTTATTGATGCAATATAATGATATTTCTATATATTAAACATATTAAAATCTTGTGTTGGACATCAACTGTACCTGCTGAGGCAGCATGGATGTTGAGCGCCATGTCTTGTTCTTCTGTATCTGCCACATCTAGAAGGTACGCCCTGATCGGTCCCTCTGTGGCATCCGCACAGAAGTCCAACACCACTACTCCCAGCACGGTAAGAACAATTCCTATTGGCTGTCTCCCTTGGGCGTCACCTAGTGACAAACCTGACAGGGAAAGACATGAGTGGCTAAAGAGTTTTAATTGTAAAATGTGTGTTTGTTGTTATTATATCATGCAATTAAACAGTGCAGGCTATCGGACTGTTAAACTAGAAAGCTAAATTCAACTTTTTTCATTCCCTTAGGGCAATTAAACAGTACACACACAGACCTCAACGAAACATAATAGTACAATAAATAATTCTCCCTCTCATACACACACCCTCGTCCTATAGTGCTGATCCAACCCTGGTCACACCTGTACACATCTGACCAATAGTGAGTTACAGCAGCCACACAACACATACAAAGGCACGCACATAAACAGATCACTGCACGGTTCTCATACTGTGTTCCATAATGTGTGTGACCTTCTCTCCCAGTTGTGACCCTGTCTTCAGTGTGTTTGTGTCTGAAGGCCTGAGTGAAAAACTGTATCAATGTATGACAACACAGTGTGACATGGGAATGTGTATAACAAGTGTGTGTCTGTGTCCGAGATAGATATCAGACAGTGTGACGCAGCATGACTTTACTGAAATCCATTAACAATGTGCAAACAAAAATATTCATAGAAGGAACAGCAAAGTTTATGTGTGTCCATGTCTATGACAATGGAGCCACACTACTCACTAGCAGACAGGAAGTGAACTGTGATTGGTGGAAAAGAGGAAGCAAACAGGAAGCATTTCCCTGTGAACTGCCTGCTCCTGTGTTCCCATGTCAACACACACACAAACACACACTCGTATACAGGTTACTACAATTTTCCCATGTCATCCTGTGCTGTTCACACACACATGACTGTACATGTTCTCTCTTTTATTCTCTCAGATGCAGGTCACTGTTTTTTCCCATGTCACTCCCCGTTGCCCTGAAATAACCTGAGTGCCAGCCTCTCTGTAGAAGAATGGAGGTAGAACAGAACAGAACTGAATAGAAACTGCTGACAAAAAACAGTTCACACAGCTCTTGTTCTTGTTATTTCCAACTCCTCTGATAATTCATTTCACTTTGTTATATTTAGATTGATTAAAAATGGCCCAGTCCACCATTGTTGTACTGTACATTTGTCACCTACTTAGTCATATATACCCTGTTAAATGATGCTGGCAACAGCTGGCATCAGTAGAGATGCACCAATATGGACATTCAAGACCAGTAATGGCAGCTGATTATTTGCCTGTTGTGGGTAGTACTAATATAATAAACAATAAAATCACTCCTGCTGTTGAAAAAAATTAGAATAAGAATGTGAAGATAGCAAAATACTACATATTTACAACAGATACCACTGTAGTAGTGCCTGATTTGGCCAATCAGCAATGACTGAGATTTATAAATAGGCTGAATCTTACAATATGAGGCATCTCAGGCATTTGGGTTGTGTTTCTGTGTAATACAAATAGTGTGTGTACAGGAAGGCTGTGATAATATAAAGTAAAGTCTTAAACCAGCTAAAACATCTGTTTGTCATCAGCTGTAAATTCAACAATTGACACAAACATTACTTCCCTGTCTTCTTTATGTGTATGAGCATGTTGACATGTGCACAGTGACAACATAGTGTGTGGTTAATGACATTACAACTGAAACTATGCTGATTTTATGATTCTGTGGTGGCATCTGCAGCTTTTTATGCTGTTGTTGGCTGGGCGGGAGGTAGCAGGGTCAGGGACAGAAAGAGATAAACAAGCTGGTTCTGTCCTGGACTGCTCTCTGGACTCCATCGAGGAGGTGGGGGACAGAAGGATGCTGGTAAAACTAACATCCATCATGCATAAGCCCTCCCATCCCCTGCACCACACAGTAGAGGCTCTGAACAGTTCCTTTAGCACGAGACCGTTACATCCCCAGTGTAAGAAAAAGCGTTACCGTAGGTCATTCCTCCCCACAGCAATCAGACTGTACAATACATCACTGCAGTGATAAGCTAGGTGAAAGTATGAGGGACTATGTAATAGTCAACAGAGGTGCAATACTCAAATCCTGGGGTAAAATGCATGGTTAATATGCACATGTGTAAAATCTTGGCTTGATTTCTCTGGAATACTTTACATTGTCTTGTTTTAAGTATTTTTGAATAGTTTTTCAGAGATCCTCATGGCTGAAATACAGGTATTTCCCCCATGGCAGGATTAATTATGGGAGTTATATTCTTGATCTCTTGAATACTATATTTTGTCTTGTTCTTAGGTATTTTGATTTGTTCTCAGGGATTAATTGTGGGAGGATCATTCTTGTTCTTGATAGTCTCTCAAATACTATATTATGTTTGGTTTTAGGTACTTTGGAATCTGTTTCTCAAGTGTGTGGTGTTTGCTCTTATGGTGTTTTGTTGCTGCTGGAACACAGGAATTTCCCCATTGTGGGATCAATAAAGTCCTACCTACCTAGCTATAGTTAGCCTAGAGATGCATGATGGGCAGGGAATCGATGTGTTTGATGGGACTGAATGAATAAGACTTAGTAATAAGATTTGAGTGATGCAGTAAGCTGAGATTTTGGACTAAAGGTAAAAGTAATCAGGCTATGCACAAGGGCACAACTCTAAGCGGGCAACACTTTCAGCAAGTACTGCTCCACTGATTCTACGAATGAAGAGGTCCTGTTCTCATTTTTCCCCTCTGTGGGACAAGTGCATGCTGGGTAAAGTGGCATTGAAGACACCGGAGCTTGGGGTGCATGTGCCACTGGGGCCGTGATACTCTCAGAAGGTTTAGATGACAACAATCACCAGATGCCACAAGTTGAAAGAAGTTGACATAAGCACATGTAGCATAATAAATTTCTGCTTTGTATTCAGTTTTAAGTTTCACATTCGTGATGGATTCATTTTTTCTATTCACTCTAGAGCCATTTTGTGCAACTGTTATACAACAAGGCAGCAATGATTAGTCAATCCAAAGAAACTATCAACTATTTTGACAATAGAATAAATCATGTTTCAAGCAAAAATGCTAATAATTTGCTGGTTCTCAAGTGAGCATTTGCTGCACATCCTCATCTGTGTATGACAATAATAAACACGTTTTAATTTTAGACTGTTGATTGAACAAAACAACCACATCAGGTCATCACTGGTCTTTTGGAAGTTAGGATCAGTGTTTTTACATGAGTTTTTATTGCATTTCATAGACTAAACTACTAAATCTGATGTCTCCAAGTTCTTACATGTGAGAATTTACTGCTTTTCTTTTACACTATAGTAAGCTGAATGTTTTAACATTTTTCTCTAGGATATTATGATGGAAACAAGAAAATAATTGGCTGGTTAATAAAAGTAATTGTTAAATACAAAAATGTACAAAGCTACATTTTCATTGCTGTGAAAATATTGTAATGCATTATTACACTACATGTCTTGCTGGGTTGTTTCCAACAGACACATTTCATGACTTTAACAAGTGTGATTTATTAACGCCAGCGATTATTCCACTGTGATAAAGTGCAGCTAAGATTTAGCACTTCCCTGGTAGTTGTGTCAAAATTCTGTCCATAAAAGTAGCATGAATTAACAGGTAGAAGAATCGTCTTAAAATACAGGACAAAAAAGAAAAGGGTCTCCATGTTCAAAAATAAGTAGCAGAAATGTGTGTGAGGATTCATAAAGCCATCAAAAGTTGTCTTTTTGGATTTGAAGGTGAAAAGTGACAATTTAAAAAGACTTCTCTCTCCTTCCTTGACACACATTTTATACCTTTTCTCACTGGCAACAGAATGTAATACTGCAGGATATAACACTTACCTATAAGCGACCCATTCAGGAACAGAGCCACTCCTATCAGTGTTCCTATACAGAGAGCCAGAATGAACGGTCTCCTCCTGCCCCATCGGAGAGTACATCGGTCGCTGGCCGAGCCAATCAGAGGAGTGAAAATGAGGCCAAGAACTGGACTGAGAAACCATGTCAGACTGTAGTACTGCTCTGGAAGACCTGAAAACACACAGATATGATTACAGACAGAGATACTGACAGGTTGCTGGACATGTGGTCTCTCCTCTCCAGCCACACTGAGAAAGATGCTGAAAGGTAACCAATAAATAACTTAGGTTCTTCTGTCTTCCACCAGGGGGTGCAATGAACAAATAACATCCTAACTGCAGGTGTGGGGGGGGGGGGGGGGCCGCATTTTTTTTTTTCATTAATGGTATTAGGCTCTATGAGTGACTGTAATCTGCAGACATCTGGTGTTACACCAAAATCTGCGACCCGTCCGATTTTGTGACCACATGGGTGCTGTTCCTCATTTTTATCATTTGCTATGTTGACACTGAGCCAGAAGAAGAGCGTGTACACAGACTTTGTAAAACTAGTCCAAATGCAAACATGTTGTATCTGCTTCTACTGGTGTGATTGGACTGCCACTGTTTTCCCAGTTCATGTGACCCATGGATGTATAAAGTAGAAGTAAATATTATTGCTTTCTAATAAGAAAAAGAAAATTAACCATGGTTCATCATGTTAATCACTGCGGGTAATATCAGAGTAAAGAAAATGAAATTTGTTACTTACTGTACTGTATTTACTGTAAGGAAACATTAAATACTGTTTGAAGAAACAGCTCATTGGGTATGTGTGCTCATTAGAAGAGGTTACTCTACTGCACCTGCAAAACAATTATGTCACCTCTAACAAAATGTTTTCTGCCGCCGTGTCAACCTCTCTCTTTCATTTAGGCAAAGTGTCCAAGTATGACATCAACACAGAACCAGAAAAACACACATCACCCTTTGCCATAAGAATATGTGAGTGACCTTATTACACAATAACTGATGGGCCTTATATGTTCTTCTTCTGGCTCACTGTTGACAACAAATGATGTGCCACAGTGGCCCTGTGGTCACAAAATCTATTAGCTTGTATCTGAACTATCCAACATGGGAAACCAAGTGAGGATTACAAACAAACACACAAGTTGCATGAAAGGGTCTCAAACTAGGCTGGGTCAATGAAAAAACAGACACAGACAGGGTGCAGCACCATGATGGAAATACACACTGTACACTGCAGAATACACATGCCTTCAATACCTTTAAATAATATCAGGTAGGTCCTCCCACCCCTAATACAAATGAATTTCTTTAAACCTCGTCAAAGTGGCCATTCGTGCAATAGACACACCACTAAAACACACAAATGCACAATAACATTAGATGTGGAAATTGAGTAAAAGGTGAATCATTGTGTGTTTATCAAACCTGTGAATCAAATCTACAGCACTAAACATCTTTGCTTGTGCAAATATAAGTTTGCTTGGTCACTGATTTGGCCCCTTTGTAAGAGCTGGAAGTGCTCATCTAGATGTAGCTCATAGCTCAGTTTGACATTCTGAACAGCACAATAAATGTCATATACTAAAGATCATAAATGTATGAAAACTTTGTCCAGATATTGTCACACATCATCAATATGGGACCTGGATCAGATTGATCAGATATGTTAGCAAGGTACAAGCATTACTCTTTAAAAATGCACTCCACTTATTAAACTTTAAATCACCCCTCAAAAAAATAATTGAAACATTACTAACAAAGAATGAAAAATCAAATCATCACATAATGAAATCAGCTATCAGTAACCACACACCCATGTATTATCAATGAATAATATCAGACTACACCCTCAGACACAGAGCCATGATTTCATGGAGCTGCAGAGGAGAAACGGGAGGAGACAACTCCTGAAGAGGTCGTTTAGCTAAGTAAAGTCAGTTGAATCAAACAGAATTAAGGTAGAACTTTATCATCTCATTGTTGTAGTGTCGCTTAATGCAGTCCACTGAAAACACATTAAATGCCATTTGGTTCCCAAATAGAGACAAGAGTCAGAGATAAAATGAAAGTATCTACTCTTGCATCTGTTCTACTGTAGAACACTGAATTGTTTGCAGTTTGAAGGTCACTTAATGAGCTCTGCTTAAAGTTTGGGAAATGCACTTCTGAAATTTATGCTTCCAACTAAATGTCCATCTGATTATCAGTCAGTGCCTGAAACTCTTTTCCAGTGACTGAATTTAGGGGGAGACATCCGACAAGTTCAATAACTTTCTGAACTTGGCAGTCCAAGAAGCACAACCATGTCCTGCAGCAGCTGTTTAGATGTGTAGAGATGAGAAACTTAAAAAAGGTGTGCCAGCCCTCTCCATAAAATTACTCATAATACATTTACTACTCATGGTAAAAGATATAACACTTACCTATAAAAGTTATGTCCTCTGGTGCACCATAAATTAAGGTGCTGATTAAGGTGTATTTCAGTCTCTTTAAAATCACCCCAGATACAGAAATTACTTTTAAAAATGTATGGTTCACTCTGGATTTAAAATAAAAAAAAAAGGCCATGCAACTTTCCAAAAATTATTTCAAATTAAAGCCACTGCCTTTAAAACAACAAAGTGTGTGTCCTTGAGCACTGATGTGAGGAAGCTGTTATCAGCATCTGGGTTTGTGTGGAGGTTTGTTGGTTTGTGGGGGAGAGTTGTTTGTTTGCATTGCTATCATGTGAACACCTCTCTGGTTTCACTGCTGCAGATGGATCACACGTTTCTCTATGGTGGGAACTACGGTTTGGTCTGCAGACCTCACGGTGTGTGACACAGGCCCTGAAAGTCACTAGCATCATCAAATTCTGTCTGAATCAGATTTGACAGTCGTCAGCACTCACTATGCAGATGCAAAATGGTTTGGTTTTCTGGCCTGAATATAACATAGAAAGGGAGGAGTACTTTCATGTATAAATCTACCAGGAATACAGGTATATGAAGCATATTACAAAAGAGAAGTGCAAGCCAGACAACCAGTAACAAGAAAACATGGCTTTGCAGACTTTTTTTTTTCTTTTACTTTGAGCATTGTTTCTGTATTTTGGACTTTACGCGTTAGTCGACAGTAAAGACAGCGAGCAACAAGCATCACCAGCATGAATTAAACCAAGAAATTGCATGGTATGAACCACAAACCATTAGGCCACAAGGATGCCACAGTATTGTGTTCGTTTGCAACACGCCTTTGCCTGATCAACCCTCAGTCAAACACAGAGGAGCTTAACAGGGACAGGCTGCTACAAAAAAAGAGAGGACAGAGGAGGAGGATTTGTGGTTCATGAATGCAAAGTTTCATGCAAAATGATGGACTGATATGCATTTTATTATGATGTACTGATTATTGACAGATAAAAGGAAAACATGAAGTGTTTTAGTAAGGTGTTGGGCCAACATGTGCCACCAGAACAGCTCCAGTGCATTGATTCTACAATTCTCTGAACTCTGCTGGAGGGATGAACAGAAAACACCAAAAGATACTCTATCATTTGGTGTTTGGGTGATGCTGTCCAACACGTCGCTCCAAAATCTCCAAATGAGTTGAGATCTGGTGACTGAAGGCCACAGCATATGATTCACATCATTTTTATACTTATCAAAGTCAGCCAAGGTATTGTACAGTGTAGAAACACCTGATTATAAAACACCCAGTGCATTTCAATTATCCTAAAAAGTTCCTTGTAGAAGACAATAAAAATGTCACTTCATGGCTCAGAACTGGACAGCATTTACATTACGGCTGCAAATAATGGCTACTCTCATTATGGATTAATGTGAGCTTTGAGTAATCAAGCGACTGATAGTGTGTGATATTTGTGAAATCTTCGTCAGTACTTTTACAGGTAAAAAGTTTTCCTAGTCTATAGTTCACTGTCAACTTTTTTTTTTTTATCTCTGCATATCTGTGGGCAAAGTTTTAAAGGATTTTCAATGTAACTAATAAATTATGCATTTAGTTTTATATTATAGTTGATGTTTGCGATATTGCACATACACATTTATACATGTATGTGTACAGCCTTCTATCCAACAGACCACAGTGAATATAAAGTCCACAACCTGAGATGTATTTATTAAGTGATCCTACATGACTTTGAACTATACTTCCGAGTGTCACTACAACAATCACACAGGAGAGTTAAAAGTAACACTGCGCCCGCACAGGTCGTGCTGCTGTTGTCCTGTACTACTGATGACCTCTGTGCTTTTCATGAGACAATCATAAACAGGGCTTGACTCCTGTCGCTGTGATGACCAGGTCCTGGGAACCCTGCCATCACCTTTGCTTCCTGGCTCCTAACATGACTGTGACATTCAAACATCACTTCCTGTTGTGGGTTTTTTTTTGGACTACAGAAAGCAGATTTATTTTTTCCTTTTCAATCTTATGTTTCTCTCGCTTCAATCTTATTTTTCCCTCCCTCCCTCCCTCCTTCCCTCACACACACACACACACACACACACACACCTATATACGTGTCTGTACCTGAAAAAAAAAAAACAAGACACTAAGTAGACAGAAACACACACACACACACACACGGCTCACAGAGTACACAAAACAGTAGCACAGCCATAAAGTGGGAGACAGAGCTGCAGATAGGAATCTGTCTGTCTGTAGGTTTGTCAACATCAAAACAGGAAAACTGTTTCTACTCTACACAGTTCCCACACACAAATGAAGAAAAACACAGTGAACACCTATATAAAGATATGTCTGCATTCCCGCATTCCCACACACACACACACACACACACACACAGACAGAGAGAGAGTCACCTAGCAAAATAAAAAACACGCACACGGCTCAGTTCCCACACACTCCTTGTACAGTATGTGCAGACACACACATACAGAGGAAACAATGCTTGAGAATCGAGTCGCAGGAAGTATTTTAGAAAGAGAGAAAAAGAAATGAGTGCAGGAGAGATAGGGGAGGGAGGAAACAAGGAGAGAGGAGGAGCGTGAGAGAGGATTAGTTTCAAAGAAATTCAAAAAAGGGAGGACAGAGAGAGGATGACAGAAGGATGAAGATGCAGACAGTAAACGCTCATATTTTGGAGTGTGAGTGGCGTTAATCAATTGTGGGAAAGTACAGTACAGTGTGCTCCTG